AAACATTGGTATACTGAGACATGAACGAAATGTATCATCAGTGACACTGGTAACTAAGATACCATAAGTTATCTGTGTTGTGTCCACCACGGGTATCGAAACACAATTTTTAACGTTATAAGCCCTCAGAATTACTATTGAGCCACTGGGGTACAACATGAACGAAATGTATCATCAGTGGCACATATAGCAGTCAACGAGTTAGTTTTCTGTCCCAATAAAGGAGATGAAACAATAACATTGAAAGACGTTACTTTGACTTTTTTAATACATTGATTGACATTAATTGGACTTTTTTATACATTGAATGACATTAACTGGATTTTTTAATACACTGAAAAGCATCACTTGGAATTTTTTAATACATTGAATGACATTAATTGGACTTTTTAATACACTGAAAAGCATCACTTGGAATTTTTAATAGATTGAAAAACATTACATGGACTTTTTTAATACAGTGAAAGGTATTACTTGGATTTTTTAATACATTGAAAGGCATTACTTGGACTTTTTTTGATACATTGAAAGGCATTACTTCGAATTTTTTAATACATTGAAAGACATTACTTCGACTTTTTTAATACATTGAATGACATTAATTGGACTTTTTAATACATTGAAAGACATTAATTGGACTTTTTAATACATTGAATGACATTAATTGGACTTTTTAATACATTGAAAGACATTACTTGGACTTTTTAATACATTGAATGACATTACTTGGACTGTTTTAAATATAAGTGGGTTAAATTTCACTTCTCCTCAGCTGGATCACTCCTTCCCACTTTCCAGTTTATCAACAAAAAGTTTGAGACCTTCTAATGCTAAATACGGAGTATGATTCCTCTAGTGTGCAGGTTTGACTTATATCAAACAGACAAACTGTCCTCAATTGCATTTATAAGAGAGGACTGCCATCATCCCTTTTTTTTTTCTTTATCAGAATCATCGGTTTAGGTGTTTTCTCTATTCTAACAGTTATATGTTTTTATAATTTTTCTCACTGAAAAACAATAACAATGAAACTCCGATGCTTCCAACACATATGTTTTATTTTTGTTTTAAATTGTTATTTTTTTATTCAGTAATTACTCTCAATTATCTATGTCATAAAAATGAAATATGTAACATATAAGGTTTCAGTAACCGCCATTTTCAGCTGAACAGGCAACTAAGAACCAAGTTTTAAACTAATTTTATTTTGGAAATATATTTCGGTATCACTTAGTTCGTAGTTATTCATCATAAAATAGTTGCACTTTGATGGTTTTCATTTATTGTTCAATGTCAGTTCTCTCTGTGTTGGTCCTTATTTCTGACAGCTGGTTTACATTATTCAATTACAGTCCTTTGGAAGTTAGTTCTGATCATTTTTCCAAATTCGTCCTGATTAACTCTCAAAGTTGGTTTTAATCATTTTAAAAGTTGGTTCTGATCATTTTGAATGATCATCTTTCGAAGTTATTGCAGCTCATTATTCCGAGTTAGTGGTGATTATCCTTCTTAGTCAGTCCTCGTCATCTTTTCAAGTTATTACAGCTCATCTTTCCGAGTTAGTGGTGATTATCCTTCTAAGTCAGTCCTCGTCATCTTTCCAAGTTGGAAATTATCATTTTTCCAAGTTATTCTTTCTCATCTTTTGGAGTCACTTCTCAACATTTCTGAAAAGTGATCCATTTTGGGTTAGTTCAATGTTATTCATTTTTTGGTCCTCAGGGTATTGGTACATTCAACGTTGCTCCTTGGTGGCTGAGTGGGACGCTAAAAACCAGGGCATGATCCCCGCAGTGGGCAAGTTGCAGTTGGCCATTATGGAGAGTAGATTTCACTTAAACAAACCAAACAAAACACTGAACGCTGTTGAAATTCTCGCTAATGGTGATCAATAGTTTTCAAAGAAAGTTCTCGTCACTAGTGGCCTACAACCACATGTCTTACTGAAAGAAAGTCCTCGTCACCAGTGGCCTACAACCACATGTCTTACTCTCTTACTGAAAAAAAGTCCTCGTCACTAGTGGTCTACAACCACATGTATTACTATCTTACTGAAAGAAAGTCCTCGTCAGTAGTGGTCTACAACCACATGTCTTACTCTCTTACTGAAAGAAAGTCCTCGTCACCAGTGGCCAACAACTATACATCTGTTTATTCTGTAACTTGATTTTTAGTGTTCTGGTTTACACCAACTTACATGAGGTCGAGAGTGTTTGGTAACTCCGTGGTAGAGTCCAGTCATAGATATTTGTATTGTGTTATACTACACTTTGGATATGTGTGACTACATTACAACTATCATCACGTGGATCAGAGTTAGGCTTCCAAGTACTTGTGATCACAATTTATGATCTGTCAGCTACGGAGAAAAGGGTGAATTGTTTGGATATTTTCCGTAACATGAATTAATATGATGTCATATCTTTGTTTTCGGGATCTTTCTGTATGTATTGATTGTGTATGTATTAGTTTAACTTCAGGAAAATTTCATTTCCAACTTCACTAATTTAAACAAAGTTTTCCTAAATTAAAAATTTCATTTAAATACAGTTCCTTTTACTCTGTATCACAACATAATATGTACACGTACTTCATTCAGATTGTAGTTTATT